GACGGGCCCTTCCGAAGTCCGACGACCCCCCTCTGCCACGCACCAGGCCCTTCCGTACTCCGACAACCCTCCTCCGCCACACGCCGGGCCCTTCCGTATTCGGACAAACTCCCTCCGGCATCCACTGGGCCCTTCTGTAGTTGGACAAACCCCCTCCGCCATGCGCTGGGCCCTTCCGTAGTCCGACGACCCCCCTCCGCCACGGGACGGGCCCTTTCGCAGTCCAACAACCACCGCCCCTCCTCGCGACGGGCCCTTCCGTAGTCCGACAACGCCCCCCGCCTCGCGATGGGCCCTTCTATAGTCCGACGACCCTCCTCCGCCTCGCGACGGGCCCTTCCTAAGTCCAACACCCACCGCTCCGCCTCGCGATGGGCCCTTCCGTACTCCGACAACGCCCCTCCGTAGTCCGACACCCGCCCTCCATACCCCACCAAGGGAGGACGGTGTCGGGGAGGGGTTTCCCTCGCCCTCAGCAAAAAAACCCTCGTCGTAGTTGTTGCGCTCCGGTGACCAGGCCGCCCTCGGCTCGGTCATCCACCCCCCCCCGACACGAGGCTTGCCGCATTGGACTGCCGCGCCATCAAAACCGCGCCGATTCCTTCTTTCTTCTTCTCTCCCCCCCCCCCGGTGCCTCCTCGCTAATTACGGCAAAAGGCCCCTTCTCTCATTTCCTTTTATGACGGGAATTAACGACGAGTTCAACGCGTGGAAAGCTATTAAGATGTGTGATTAAGCCACATTCAATTAGCTTCCACAAACAATTTAATTGATGTTGCGGAGAGAATTAACAGAAGGTGATTGTGCGAGCGGCGTCGGGGGCGGCAGAAGGGAAACGGGGTGGGGGGGGACGGGTGGTGTGGGGGGGACGCGATGCCAGCCGTCGCCTCTCCGCCCGTGCCTCGGCATAACCCTCGGCGGGACGCAGATCCGAAATCGGGACGGGGGCCCATAGCCTTCGTTCTCCTCGCTTCCGGTGCGGCGGGATGGACAGGATACAGGGGGAAAGTAGCCGCCGTGCCGTCCCGCCGTTTTTACGAGCCGAGGGGAAAATGTCCTCAGGCCCAGCCAGGCGTCGGGCAAGGCCACCCGCTCGGGTCGCAAAATGAAACGAGGACAGAGGGGCGAGCAACCTGAGGGGACAGGATACGGGGGGAAAGTAGCCGCCGCGCCGTCCCGCCGTTTTTACGGGCTGAGGGGAAAATGTCCTCGGGCCCAGCCAGGCGTCGGGCAAGGCCGCCCGCTCGGGTCGCAAAATGAAATGAGGAAAGAGGGGCCACCAACCCCCCCCGCGCCCCGCCGACTCACGTGAAGGCTCGGGTGGTAGGTCAGGACGCCGTTGTCGCAGAGCGTGACGTACTTCTTCTTCCACTCCTTGTTGAGGGACTTCCCGCTGCGTTTCAGGAGGACGCCCTGCGGACGAAGAGCGGCGGACAATCAACGGGACCTCGCCCTCGCCCTTCCCCACCGTCTCGCCGCCCCTCCCTTCTTTCTGAGCGCTCTCAAGCGCCGCGGCGGGAGGGCGGCGGCCTTTTCGTACGGGACCTCGGCCTCCGCCGTCCCCGTCTCGCCTCCCCTCCCTTCTGACGGGCGCTCTCGCGAGCTTCGTCGGGAGGATGGCAGCCTTGTTTTTCCCAACCGCCCCGCCCAAACCAAAGCCGGCCTCCGATCCGGCCGCGCCGTAGACATGGTCGTCCAAGCAGGGAGCTCGCGTCTTCCTTTCCTGTCCCGTCCTGGATACGAGTTCCCTCGGGACCGTCGCTCCGTGGAGGATGGAGAGGGCGGGGCGGGATCCGGCCTGCCCCCCCCGGTTCTTCTGGCTGGCCCCGGGGCAGACAGGGACCCCCTCCCCGCAACGATGTTCAACCCACTTCCCGGCGTCCGTGCGGAGACGTCTCTCTCTCCCCCCGCACGTTCAACCCTCCCACCGAAACGAAACGTGGGGCTCCTCTTTCCAGGACGGATCCCGGATCGTCCGTCGGATTTCAACGGGATCCGACGCTCGCCGGAGACGGAGTAGCCCTGCTAGGTCGGCCGAACGGCGCGCGGGGTGGCGGGGAGGGGAGGAGGGGTAACCACCCCTCCCACCAAAGCGGCCCCCCAAAACCGGACCAGGCCGCGACACCCTCCCTCTCTCTCCCCGCCAATCCGGCCCTCGTCCCGCCGACTGAGTTTGTCCCGTCGTCCTTGCGGGAAGAACCGCTGGCAGGGGGGGCCCTCCCCTCCCCCCCCAAAAAATGGCACCTGGGGGGGTTTCTTGGGTCCCCCAAAACAGCCCCCTCCCCCCCGAGAATTGAGCGGAGGGAGGGGACGAGGAGCCAGCGTGATCAAGGAGAGGCGAGAGATTTTTACGGGACGAGGGGAACCCCGCCAACAATTATGGGGGGGAAGGATGATGGTCTTGGGGTCCCTCCTTTTCCTTGCAGGCCCATAAGGCTGAGCGAGCCCCCCTCCTCGGCTTCCTCCTCCTCTCCCCCTCTCTCAGAATCGAGCGGAGGGAGGGGACGAGAAGCCAGCGTGATCGAGGACGGGACATTTTCCGGGACGATGGGAAAGTTAACGATTACGGGGGGAAGGAGGATGGTCTTTGGGGGTCCCTCCTTTTTCTTGCAAGCCCATAAGGCCGAGCGAGCCCCCCTCCTCCTCTTCCTCCCTCCGCTCAGCCTTGACCCCCCTCCTCTCCCCTCCCCACCGTTTCTTCTCTTGTCTTCCTCTCCCCCCCTCGCCCCGCCGTTTCTCCAATTCCCGGTGTTGGTGAGGGGAGAGCGGCCCCACACCCCTCCTCTTTCCTTCCTTGCGGAGGCGGCAGGCGGTCGGCAGCGCCGGCAATATCCGGGGTAATGAAGCAGGCAGTGCCAAGGGCCCCCCCAGGACCGCTTACGCCCTCCCTCCCCCCCCCCTCCCAGGCCTCCCTTCCCCGCTCGCTTTCTCCGGGAGAATTTTAACACCAAACTTAATTGTAAAGTCGCGGATTGATTGGGAAAATGCAAATGGCAATTTAAATGTAATCTAAGCGCCCAGCAAGACGCCGGGCTCGGCCCCCCCCCCCGCTCCCCTCCCTGCCGAGGAGGAAGAGGAAGAGGGGGAAGAGGAAGAAGAAGAAGGAGAGGAGGAGGAGGAAGAAGACGAGGAGGAAGAAGAAGACGAGGAGGAGGAGGACAAAGGAGAAGAGGAAGAGGAGGAGGAGGAAGAAGAGGAAGAGGAGGAAGAAGAGGAGGAGGGAGAAGAGGAGGAGGAGGAGGGGGAGGGGGAGGAAGAAGAGGAGGAGGAAGAAGAAGACGAGGAGGAAGAAGAGGAAGAGGAGGGAGAAGAAGAAGAGGAAGAGGAGGAAGAAGAAGAAGAGGAGGAAGAAGAGGAAGAGGAGGAAGACGAGGAAGAGGAAGAAAAAGAAGAAGAGGAGGAAGAAGAGGAAGAGGAGGAAGAAAAAGACGAGGAAGAGGAAGAAGAAGAAGAAGAGGAGGAAGAAGAGGAAGAGGAGG